GGCCTGCCTTTGGGGTGGGAGAGGAGGAGAGTCCCGACTCTATGGAGTTCTTCTCGATTCTAGAGCCCACTGCTAAAGGCCCTGCCAAGAATTCAGAACCAGAGGAAATCATCCCGTCCCGGCTGGATATGCGTGTAGGCAAAATCATCAGTGTGGAGAAGGTACTCACTTTTCAGTACTACTACCCAAAGAGGCAGAGGAGGGTTAGGTTTGTGTTTCCATCTGGAGGAAACCTAGCTAGAGAAGGGAAGTAGCATCCCTGGGGTCATATTGCAAGGCAGAAGGCAGGTGTCTAATTGCAGGCAGTCTCTGAACTTTATACAACACAGCCAGGAACCTGGAGAGATGGGACACCGGTCAGAGAACTTAGCAGTTAAATGTGGCCTGATGTACTATGTGCCAGCTTGCCTGGACTAGCTTCTGGTCTTACCCCTTAGACAGTGGCTGCAGGGAGGTGGACTTCCATTTTTTGCACACAGGTCATGTGATCAGTCATTGGCTGGGAACCATTGTTCTAGGCCCTTTTAACCCTGGTGTTGATTTGCTTGACACTGTATGGCCCTAAGCCTCCCAACCACAGACTACTTGATGTGGCTGCTGGTGCTACCACCTGAGATAGTGAAGGCAACATTCATCCACTCCACCTCCCAGACACCTGGAACCCTTGGTGTAGTACTTGGGGCACAATGGCAGTCACTAACAGTCCAGGCACCTAATCTCTGCTAACAGATTTTTCCACAAGCCATTAGGTTCATCTTCTCAACTCAAGCCCCTTGAGGAGTTCTTTCAAGGCATGTTTTCAAAGCCAGGCATGATAACACATGCCTGTAATCCTAGGACTTGGGAAACTGAGGCAGGAGAATCACTGCAAGTTAAAAAACCATCCTTCACTATATAAATGAAAAAAGAAAAAGACAGGTGCAGGGGAGCTCTGGAGAGAGCAGATGTGGCAATGGCTAACCTGGCGTTTGGCCTACTCCACTGTGATCATCTTCCGTGTATTTGTCTATTGGGGTTGAAGGGAATGTGCATGCCACATGTGTGGAGGTTAGAGGACTCGTTTCTCTCCTTCCCCAATATGGCACCTGGGGAGCTGACAGGTGGTCAGGCTTGGTGGCAAGCACCTTTACCCACTGAGTCATCTCTCTGTCCCTCTGACAAGAATTTCTTGCTGGCAGCACCCAGATGCAGATAGCCTGTATGTGGAGAAGATTGATGTGGGGGAAGCTGAACCCAGGACTGTGGTGAGCGGCCTCGTACAGTTTGTGCCCAAGGAAGAACTACAAGACAGACTGGTGGTGGTACTGTGCAACCTGAAACCCCAGAAGATGAGAGGAGTAGACTCCCAAGGCATGCTGCTGTGTGCATCCATGTGAGTGAGGATGGGGAGATCAAGAGTGAGGAATTAGTCTGTATGATTGTATGATGCCCTTCTGTATGCTGTGTGCAAGCCCGAAGAAAATGCCCCTTCTACACTGATGCTAAAAGATAAGGCATGAGCCGGGTGGTGGTGGCATGCGCCTTTAATCCCAGCACTGGGGAGGCAGAGGCAGGCAGATCTCTGTGAGTTAGAGGCCAACCTGGTCTACAAGAGCTATTTCTAGGACAGCCAGGGCTACATACAGAGAAACCTTGTCTCAAAAAAAAAAGAAAGGGAGGGAGGAAGGAAAGAAGGAAGAAAGGAAGGGGAAGATTAAGGCTTGAAAAGGGTTGCTGTGCATAAAAGATACACTGTTAATATAAAGCTAGATCGGTAGTAGGGCATAGTAGCACACGTCTTTAATTTCAAAAGATCACCAAGAGTTCAAGGCCAGCCTGGTCTACATAGCAAATCCCAGAGCAACATAGTGAGACCCTACCTTGAAAAAAAAATTTTTTTTTTAGTTAAAAAATAAAATGAAAATGGACAGATGCTGGGCATGACAGCACCTACCTACCTTTAGTCCTAGCACTTAGGGGAAAACTCTCTATAAGTCTAGTTTACATATCAAGTTCTAGGCCAGCCTGGGCTACACAGTGAGACGCTGTCTCACCAAAAAAAAAAAAGATAGACGTTGGATACAACTCAGGTTGGTAGAGCTCTTGCCAGGCTGGAAAGAAGCTCGGGGTTTGCTCTCTAGCACCTCATAAAAGTGAGTATGGTAACCCACACCTGTGATCCCTGCGCTAGGGAAGTAGCAGCAGGTGGATGTACAGCCTGGGCTACATGAGACTGTCAAAACAAACATAAATGAAGGTGTCACACTATGAGTAAGAGGTGGAGCCCAGATGCAAACCTGTTGTGATTGGGTACAGATCATTGCTGGAGACCCAGATATTACTCTTTCCAGAAAATGAGGTATTGAATCCTGGGCTAAGTGTTCAGAGATGTGGAAAAGTGACCAGGACCTCCTGAGCTATGGCACTAAGGGCATCCTAAATTCCTTTAGGGCCCTCAACACTTGAACATCCACAGCTGTTGGGAAATCCATCATCTTGCTTTTTGTCCTGTCTTTCCCAGAGAAGGGGTAAGCCGCCAGGTTGAACCTCTGGACCCTCCAGCAGGCTCTGCTCCTGGAGAGCGAGTATTTGTGAAGGGCTACGAGAAGGGCCAACCAGATGAGGAGCTCAAACCCAAGAAGAAAGTCTTTGAGAAACTGCAGGTAAAATGCTACTGTCCTTCCTTGCCCAGGCTGCCCCCACTGTGTTCTCCTCCCTAGCCCAGGCTGCCCCAGTGTGCTGTTAAAATTGGCAGTTGCCTGGTTCCCACTTCCCTCACTGAGTGAGGGACTTCAGACCCTTGCTTGTCCATTTGATCACAGTCTGAGAAAGCAGCAGATGGGTGCTTATCCCCATTTTACCTCAGGCTTTGACTCTCCATGCCAGAGCAAATAAATGAATCTTGAGTCTAAGGCACTCACTAATCCAAATATGGCCTGCCCCAGTTGTCCTGGAATCACTCATTTATTTTTTTCAATAAATACAACGTTCAGAAAACTAGAGAAACCCTATCTCAAAAAAATAAATAGTCACGTTCAGAATGTATGTGTCGAGCACTATTCTAAATTTCTGAACTACACCAGTGTTAACAAATTAGTGCTCTATTTATAATAACAAATATTATAGAAACTGTGTTAAAGAGAGAAAATATCCACAGCCCTGCTGGGTATGTTGGTACCTTTATGTAATTCCAATACTTAAGAGGCAGAGATAGGAAGAATGCCCCAAGTTCATGCCAATCTGGTTTTAAAAAGGAGGTCCAGGCCATCCAGGGCTAGGGCTACACAGTGAGACCCTTCTCAAAACAAAAAACATGGATATTTATTTCCAGTCCTGTCAAAGCTACTAAAATAAGCCTGGATTGCCTCCTTCAGATCTTTTGCTGGGCAGAGGAGCATTTGGGTTCGTCTGCTTTTCATCCCTGAGGAATCATGTGTATAGTGTATTGTGGCCTATTAGCCCGCTATAACTAACTTGGGAATCATGTGTGTGGTGTATTGAGGCTATAAGCCTGCTATAACCAGCTTGGGGTGCATTTCAAGCAAGACCTTAGGTTTGATCCCTGGCATCATCACACATACCAGGGCTGCAATGATATCAGTAATCTAGAAGTCTTTGTATTTATTCATAGAAGTGAATGCCAAAAGATAAGAAAATGGAAGCCTTTGGGAAACCACTCAGAAACGCTGAGCCAGGGGTCACGTGTTGTAGTGCACACCTTCAATCCCAGCACTCAAGAGCAGAGGCAGGAGGCCAGCCTGGTCTACACAGTGAGTTCCAGGACAGCCAAGACTACTACTCAGGGAGATCCTGTCTCAAAAACCAAAATCAAAAAGTTGGGCCAGTTCATGTTAATAATGTAGTAATCATTTATTTTTTTTGTCTGTCTTGTCCAGGCCGATTTTAAGATTTCTGAGGAATGCATTGCACAATGGAAACAAACCAACTTCATGACCAAGCTGGGGTCCATCTCCTGTAAATCACTAAAAGGGGGTAACATTAGCTAGCTGGCCCAGCATCCTCCTCAGATCATCACCGTCTCAACTTGTGACATCCATCACCCGTTCCCATCTCAGGACACTGAAGCTCCAAGTCTGGAACTGTTGATTAGACATGGGACTTGGTAAGGGACAGTTTACCTCCCTACAATCTGGGATCATCCCACCTGGCTGCTTGGGGTAAGGACAGCTGCCCAGTGCAGGCAGCTGTACCTCTTTCCTGGCAGCTGACTTGAGAAACCTGGTTTCAATAGAACCAATAGAAAAAGTTTATTCCACCGTCCTTGTAATTGGAAAAACACTGGTTTCCAAGCTTCTAAGGGTTTATGTCCACAGCTGTACCTCTAGCTAGAATCTAGTGCCTGATCTGGCTAATTACAGTTTCTCCCCAACAGGAAATTGTGGGATTTGAAAAGAAGGAAAAATGGCCTAGAGGTCTACCAAGCTTCCCAGGGCTGGCAGCATTCTCAAGGCCTGCCTACCCTGAGGCTTGGCACCAGTGGTAGGGTCTGCCCCAGCTCTGGGTTTCCCTGGATCTGGCTAGGTTGGGACACTCCCTAAAGCAGATGTGTCAGCAGCAGGATGGGCATGGACTGACACAGTGTGGTGCTTTCTTCAGAATGTGGGATACTTCATAAGGCATCTCAATCCAATCACTTACCACCGCTGTCAAATTCAAATAAAGTGTCTGAACAAGGGTGTCTGGGTGGGTGTGTCTGAACCACACTAATTAGGAGATGGCAGCAGCTATATCACCTAACCTAGGACCGCTGACTTTGGGATGGGGCAGACATGGATGACAGACACCCTGTGTTTCCCCCTGCTCACTACCAAGCAGGAGGCAGGAGACCACCTCTTCTAACCGCAGCTCCAGAGTACCGCCCTGTCCTAGCACAACCAGGCTTTGTGTGGTTCATTAGCAGGAGATTAGGTTTGTGCTGTTGTGAGATGTGCGCTCCACAAACCTTGTTACATACATTACTCAGCGTCACCTGTTGTCACGTTTGGAAAAAGTAGTCACAGTCAAGTTTCAATCATTTAATTAATACCTTTTAATGAAACACAACTTTGTCACGTGTCTCAAGCTTCTGAGAGGGAATAGGGGAGGACTGTTTATATAGACATATCAAAGACTCAAAAATTTACGGAAATATATATATATTTCTCTCTTCTAACATTCTTATGCAAATTACAAATCAGAGGCTTTTGTCTCTCCATTTGCACAAGGTCAAGCTCATCTACCCCAGAGGACAAATATTAACTGCCCCTCTTTAAGAGTCTCCTTTCTTCTTTGTACTCTGGCCCACCCAGTGGGGAAACAAGCAGAGAAGATCCAAGTTAGGGCAAGAGCTCCAGTAACCCTGGAGGGGGAAGATGCTGCTTCCCACCCCCAGCAGCTCCCAGATTACTACTACCAGGGCCTGGTTTCCTGGGGCAGAACAGTGCTTACTGAGTGATTGTCCTCCCTCCCCACCTCATGGGACAGTGACATCCGCCTAGCAGCAGCCCCCATCACACACTGGGCAAGGGAAAGACAGTGACAAACAAGCAATCCTAGCAAGAAGGCTAAGGGTCCTAAACTCTCACATTTCCCCGTTTCTTGACAGGAAAATCAGTAGCAAGGGGTAGTGTGTCGCTCTTGGTAGTGGAGAAGCTAAAGGCCAAGATCTCTTGCCAGGCTCCAGCCCCCCCTTGAAAAAGACTCAAGAGGTGGCCCTAAAGGAGGTACAGCCATAGGAGCTGATAAAGACTCCAGCCTACCTAAAGGTGGCACAGGCTGACAATGAGTCACTAAATTCCAGGAAGAGATTAGTAGCAGAGGCTGCCATCTGGGGATAGCCACCAGCCTGCCTACTTAGGATCACTGGGTACCCCCCTTGGACTTCCCATCCTTGCTGCTCAGCCTCGGCTCCCTCCACCTGGCTGAATGGCAGCTGCATAAAGGACATGCACCAAAGAGTAGAGACAGGTCAGAGAAGGAATGAGGGCCAGGTCTGGGCCCACTGCCCAAGTAAATCCCTGCCAGGCTCTCCTCCCACCTAGCAGTATCCCCTGCCAAGATAAAATAGACACATCCCATGAGCTCCTGGCTCTGAAGTTGTGCCCATCCACCCAAACCCAATCAAGTGTCACAGGACAGGTGCCCAGCATGCCAAGACCCCAGATGGCTTCCTACTCTGGTCTGGTTTTTGGTTTCTTAGTGCAGTGTCCACAGACGTCTGGTTCTTCCTCCCCTCATCCATGAGTCCCCTATAAGGAGGAGCACCTGACTGGAAGGCAGGAGAGTGGTTGGTGGTAAGTTGAGGCACAGGAAGGCTAGCCCTCTCTGTACCTTTTGTGCTTTGGAATTCCACAGCCCCGCTCCTGCCACCAGCCTGGGAAGCCTGTGAGGATGACTTGCCCATCTCCAAGAACTAAGGAAAGGCATGGACTAGACTGGCAGAATGGACAGACTGGTCCCAGCTGAGGGCTGGCTAACGAGGACTGATTCTGCCACCATGTAAACAGGCTCTTGGAATGTGGTTTCGTGAGCCCTGGAGGATGGACATGCAGTCACTTTGCAAAGGGCTTTGATTCTGGACTACAAACATACATGATACCCGACATGAAACAAATTAAACATATGTTCTGCTCCCACCTCTGGCCTTGTGGTGGGAGTGGGCGGTGGAGGACTGGGGGCACAGCCACCCACTCCCACCAGCTACCTTCTTCAAGATGAGGCTAAGGCCAAGGCTGAAGGATTGCTGGAAGGGAATCGTTCAGGAAAAGGCATGAGGGCGGGGTGACCTGGAGGATGGGCAACATCCTTGCATAAACATGAAAGGCTGTGGAGATTAAGGCTGCAGGCATCCTTCCTTAGGCTAAGTGCCATGTCCTCTCTTGCTTGGAGCTGCTCGGGTCCCTGAGAGATTATTCCTGGGATGGGTCAGCAGTGCCAGGTGATGATGGCCAGACCAGTCTCTTCTAGGGATCTGTGAGGAAAGGGACACTCAGCAGGCCTGACAATAAAGCCTATGACACATGCTCACCCAACCTTTCCGTATCCCCTCCCTCATTTCACCAATGCTGGGTAAGACTTTTTTTTCAAGACAGGGTTTCTCTGTGTAGCCCTAACTGTCCTGGAACTCACTCTGTAGACCAGGCCTCAACTCTGAGATCCACCTGTCTCTATCTCCCAAGTGCTCAGGATTAGAGGTGTGCTCCACCACTGCCCCCCAGCATTGGGTGAAACACTTTCAACAGACTAGAACATGGGTGTCTCTGCCCCATTTTACAACATGAGATGGGAAATGATGTGAACAACTGGAAGATACTCAGCTGCCAGAATGTTTGTATCCCATGTACCCTCCTCCCTCCGATTCCTATCACTAGTGACTCCAGAGAACTGATTCTGCACCAATGCCTACAGTACCTGAACCAGCAGGGGGCGTCTTCTCTGTACCAGCCAGCTGCACACCTCCATTCTCTGCCAGCTCCAGCTTAGTCCTGTCCTCAGCGTGAGGGAGCCCGTTGGTGGATGGAGCAGTGAGAGACTCAGCCCTAGGAAAACTGGGGGAGGGAGGAGGGACTCCCACAGAGGGTTTGCGGGCCACAGGTGGAGGAGCCTTGGAAGGCTTTTTCTGGGTCTGGGATGGCCGCTGCTCTGAAATGCTCCGAAGTTCAGCCACCAGATTGCGCTGGAGGTCAGCCTGGGCCTCAGGGGACACAGGCCGCTCAAGCTGTAGTTTTTTGGTGCCCTTGGAGAAGATGAAGCTGGCCTTGGAGGCAGGAGATTGTGGAGACCGTGGCTCTGCCTCTGGTGGTCCAACAGGCAGAGAACTTCCAGGGCTCTCAGTGGCAGCCAAGCTGGAGGCTTTGAGTCGGACGGCAGCATGGAGCCCAGAGGAGGGGGCAGGCACTGGGCTGGCCCGCCCTGACAGGGCTCTTCGCAGTGGCTTCTGGGGGGCTGATGACCCTGGAGATGAACTTGGAACCCCTGTGGAAGCACCCACAGAGCGAAGCCGTACCATCTGCAGGAGTGAGGGTGTGACCAGAGGTGTGCCAGCATCCTCCTTAGGAGCCCCACTGTTCTTGCCCACAGAATCCTTCTGAGGAAGCTTGGCCAGAGGTTCTGAAACAGAACTAGCTGGAGGTGGAGGAGGTGGAGCTGGTGGAGGGGTTTGGGTATGTTGGGGTGAGGTCTGGGATGAGCTAGCAGCTGAAGGAGTGGTAGCCAGGGAGCTGCAGGGCTCCAGAGGGCCAGGCTCCAGGCCTGCAGAGAAGAAGACCTCTTCAGGTGGAGGAAAGTCAGCCATGGACAGGTCCTGTTCCTCAGGGGCAGGTGGTGGTGGTGGTGGCCAGCTGGAATCTGGGAGGGACTCCTCAGCAGTCTCTGGAGCAGGGGGGACTTCTTCAACCACCTCAGGCTTCTTACTAGGAGGTGGGGGTGGGTGATAAGATGGGGGTGGGGACGGTGGAGGTGACTGGTCTTTGGCGGCAATGGGAGACTCCTGGAGTGGAGTCAGGGTTGTCTGAGGCATGGAAGGAGATGCAGGGCTGGTGTCAATGGTAGAAGCTAGCCCAGGAGCAGCCACAGCAGGAGCAGCCACAGCAGGAGCAGCCACAGCAGGGGCATCTTGGTTAGAGCTCTTGGTCTTGGACGGTGGTGGAGAGAAAGGAGCAGGCACCTTAGGATGAGGAGGTATGACAAACCTGTCACCCAAGGGGGTGGACATCTGTGGACCAGAGCGGTCAGAGGGAGTAGGGTCTGAGGAAGAGGAACACAGAGATGTGAGGGAAGAGGACACAGAGGCCCCAGGAGATCGAAGGGATGTCACTCGATCTGCTTTAGGGGGCTGAGCCTTGCCTGGGGAAGCAGGAGCACCTGCCAGACCCTTGTGAGGGAGAGTTGGGGTACCGCTTTGGCTTGAGTATCCACTAGAAGGTGAAAGTGTCCGTTCTGGGGAACGTGGAGGACGCCTGGAGCCACCTGGAGACAAGCCAGAGCCCCAGCTGCCTGCTGAGCTGGGTGGACAAGCTGCTGCTCCCACTCCCGAAGACCCACCTGTGGTGGGTGGCCGGGGCAGCTGTGGTTGCAGCTTCCGCTCAGGTTTGGGCGGCAGCCCTAAGGGCCCATCGGGTACTGCGGAACCCCGCTGATGGAGAGAGTAGGTCCGGCGGGGAGGCGGGGGAGGCCGTTTCATCTTACGCAGAGACACACTCCTGCCAGACAACTGCCCACTGCTGCGGATGCTGGCTGTGTCTGAGACCTCAGCAGTGCTACCCCCACTGGGGGATCCCCTCCCACTACCCCCCGGAGGAGGGGATACTACATTATTGCTAGCTACAGAGCCCTCTGGCTGGCCCTCAGAGCCCCCCTTAGAGGAGAGAGTGGACCCATCAGACACAATGGTCTCAGAGGACTGAGAGTGACTCCAGGTGTCACTGGACGAGGAAGCATGGCGGCTGCGGGGCCGTGGACTTGAGGCTGAGGAGAAGCGGCCCAGCGAGCGAACAGAAGCTGGACTAGCAGACAGCAGGCTGCAGCGGCTCAGAGTGCGCAGGCTGCTGCGGCCCAGAGCCACCACATCCACTGTGGGCGGTAACACAGCATGTGGGATTAGCTTGGACAGGTAGGTGGCTTGGGGCGAGATAGACATGGCTGGACTCAATGGCTCTGGAGGTCCTGCCCCTCCTGTCAGTCCAGGCACTGCGAGAGACATGGGCCGGTTCAATGGTGGTGGCCGGGTTCCCGTGGATCGACCAACAAGCGTGTCATCATGGTAAACACGGTCAATGTGGCGCTGTAGTATAGCCTCGGCGTCAGTGCCAGCCTCCGTTTCTGCCTCCAGAGCCTGCAGGGACACCCGGACCCCCGTCCCTAAGGCCAGGCCCGGGGGACGACCATCTACTGTGGGAATGCGGACAGCATCCCGTGGGCCATGAGGCTGTGGAGTGCCTGGGGCCTCACGATTGTTCCGCAGGCCTGAAACAAACAAGGAGATGGAGTGAGCAGAAGGGCTGGCCAGGCTCTCCGTCCCTCACCGCCGCCTACCTAACAAGGGCTCACCAAGTTCCTTCTGCACATGCTGAGGCAGCCCCAGCACCGTGCTCCTCCGCTCCCTCCGTCGCCGCCCTGACTTTCCAGATTTGGGAAATGAGTCATGGGGTCTGAAGGTGGAGCCTAAGAACCAGTCCAGGGGAGAAAAGACGTTAGCGCAAGGTTCTGAGCGCTCCAGAGCACGCTCTGTACTAATGCAGTGCTAGTAAGTGTTCGGCAAGGCTAGGGTTAAGGCCTCTGGAAATCCCCTTACTAAGTCAACAATGATCTTTCCATTCAGTGAACAGTTCTCATTACTTAGTGAAATATTATGTCATCATAGTAAATGCTTGATAGTCATTACAATAAGGTAAATGCTCTTAATATCCTGATTTTTTTGGAGCAAGGGGTGCTACTAGAGACTGAACCCAGAGTCTTACACATGCCCCTTGAGGCAGTCCCGAGCCAGTCCTTTGGCTTCTGTTTTGAGATGGGGTTTCATACAGTCTAGGCCAGCCTCTAACTCACTATGTAGCTAAGGATGACCTTGAATTTCTGATCCTCATAGTTCTATTTCCCAAGTGCTGGGATTACAGGTGTGTACTAACACAAGGTTTTATATAATGCCAGGGACTGAACTTAGGACTTCCTGAATGCTAGTGCAAGCACAATACTAACTAAGCTATATCCCAAGCCAATCCTTTATCATTTGTAGAACTTCAGTCAGACACTCAAAGAAGTGAAGGGTTTATATTCCTGGCCACACTGCAGCTAGGTTACCACAAATCCAGGTTCTCGAACTCTTAACTACCTTGCTTTGGGTCAGTGTGTCCACCATGAACCTCCAAGAGGATAGAGGAGAGTGTCTCCTAAATTCCCTAAATCACTAAGCTTGGATGAGGAGAAGGGGAAGCCCAAGGTACTCCCCGGCCTAGGAATCCCAGCAGGTGGCAACACACCTCTGCGCTGGATCATCTCTGAACGGACGGAGAGAGCATCCTCTGCCGTGGAGCTTTCGGTCATGTAGGACTTCTGACTGCAGAAGGAAATGGTGTCTTCCTCCGGCCCCGTCCGGGATGACTGTTGGAAGAAGATCAGCTTGGACAGGCTGCCTCAGGCCTCTCACTGGAATTTTCCCTCACAGATTCTCCCAGCATCACCGAGCACTGAGCAGGTACCAGAGGGAGCAAGCCTGGACTAGCTGTCAGAGGTCATTTGATCTACCTCTTCAACATACAGAAGAAATCAATCCAGGGAGGCCCAAAGCCATGCATGCCAGAAGCTAAGTCAGAAGGGAAGAGCAGGGCAGAGCTGGGCACAGGGCTCACCTGGATGCTCTGGGTGTCTCCATGGTCCCAGCCACCCTTGCTCAGTTTCTGTCTTTCTAGAAGATACCAGAAGGGCGTGTTGGCCTAGGCCCCTGACCCCCAGGAGCTGAGAGCAGCACCAGAACAAGGCAGCGGAGAGTTACCTTGGTGCTGCAGGGAGCGGAGCCCCTCCTGGGCCTGCGTGTGCAGCTCCTCCAGGTGAGGGGGTCTCCCACTGGGGAAGAAGACATTGTCCTGGTGTTCATCTGCTACAGATCCTGGCCCCTGGCTGGGCCCTGCACTCTGACGTTTGTCACTCTCGGCCTTGGCAGAGCCTGATGGGATGTGAGGAAGAAGTGAGACCAAAGACAAACGGGTCCTGGAGATTCCTAAGTACAGCAACATAGGCAGGTAGCGCACATACAATCACTGTTTATCCCTGCGACAGAGACCCCATGGATGCACACTAACTACACCCAAGGTTGCATATATCTGAGTAATCACAACACATAATGGACCACACAAGGTCAACACAGAGAACACACAGGCCCACTACATCCACACAACATTTACAGGCTTCTGTCATGTTTACACATGAACCCTATTCAAGTATAAACCCATGGCTGTACCTACGCCAGCTTCCACAGACCCACATGACACTATTCTGCGTACACACAGACAGTGTCTAAGGTTCACAAACTGCATCCGCGAGTCACTCAGGGCTCTACACAGTCGCCCCTGAAATACACAGCGCCCACAGCAAATACATTTCTTGTCTCTGAGACCTGAAGCTTCATTTTAAAGGAAAACAAACTACCTTCTTCAAACCGTCCCTTGTCCAGGGTCTAAGGAGAAGGTGCCACGGAAAACCAGGGAGCTGTCAGTCACAATCAGATTCCCAGAAACCCTGAAGGGAGGATAGGCCAGGGACACCTACTCACCCATATGGCTGCCCTTTGGGAGGATGGGCAGGAGAGGGGAGAAGAGGGATCAGGTCCCTCAAGTCCCACTGGGAACTTAGCCTCTCTTGGGGGAACAGGCCAGGTATGGGCTCTCCTGGAGGCCCTGGCCTGGCCCAGGTCCAGAGGAGCCAGTGCTCCATTACAGAGGATCCTGTTACAGGCTCTGCCCACAGAGGGGCTAGTCATCTAATCCTGAGGACGGGGGCTGCATCAGCACTTTGCAGTCCCAGCCCCTCTTTAAATGAAAGCCACAACATAAGCAAAAGTGCTGGGCGAGTCATGTGACCTTGGCAGTACCCTGAAGAGGGGGCAGAAACAAAACAAGGCCTTTAACAGCCCCGCCCCAAGAACTGGGTCCCTAGTGCAGATGCCTGCCATTCCCCGCTTCAGTATTCTTCAGCAGAGGACCTGCCCCCAGAAGTCACAGGAAGTCTCCCAAGTCAGAGATAAGAGGTGCTCCAGGGGGTCTTGGGTGTCCTGCCCGCCCCCCCAATACTAGGATTTTACCAGTGGAGAAACAGGCACCAGTGGAACTGTAGCTACAGCCACAGCAAGTGTCTGGGGCAGCCGGGACAAAGTCTGCATTCCCAAAAGGGACCCTACCCTTGAAAAGCCAAGAAACTCTGGCTCCTCCAGTCAGAATCCAGGTCTGACCGCCGGGCTCCCAGGCAGAGAAGTGCACCTGGTCTCCTCCTTCAAAACTGCCTCCTCCAAGTCAGGTCCCAGGGCACTCTCTCCTTGCTGCTCCCATAGATCCTCCCACCCCTGAGATGACTCAGGAGGGGGCTTCCTTCTCTCTCTAAACTGGGATATCGCGTCCTGCCCAGTAAGGGAGTGGGCACCCCAGCAGGGAGGCAGCCCGGCCCTAGGGCAGCAGATTACAAGATCAGAACACCTGGTCCACCCTCCCGGATCCCAGGCAGCACTCAGACAAAGGCGGCAACAAAGCCGCTGGACAAAAACATGGCTGCACACTCAGAGTGTGGCCAGCCTAGTGACCAGCACCTCATCATTCTTCCTAGCCTTGGTCCCCACGAAACTAAGGGTCTGGCAAAGGGAGCTGTCACCCCTTCCCTACCCTGCCCCCACGGCCACACCCACTCACCCTTCTTAAACACCTCAAGAAGGGCTGGGAGGTGTCGGCCCAGGAACACTACCATGCCTGCAGCAGATGATCCCCAGAGCACCAAACAGCACTTTCAATATAGCCCAGCCCCAAGGGGACTCGGGAGATGCAGGGATGCAAAGCAAGCTCCCTGCCAGCCAGCTGCACAGCACAGTTCCAGCAGGAGGGGGAGGGGCTGCTCCAGATTCTCCTCCCACCTTTGCGACACATCCCGCCCATCCACTAACCCCACCCCCATGCCCCCCAACACAGGAGGCAGGGAAACCGAGGCCCAGAGACTGGGTGCTTTGCTACTGGGTATGACTGGAGGCAGCAGAGAGAAGGCACACAATGCTAGCTGTGGATCACTGACTCTGCTCTCAAGTTCTTGTCAAAACATTTGGGTGCCAGAGCTAAGGAAAGGGTCCCAGTTGCCAGATGGTAGGTGGAAGAGCCACCAGACCAGACTTGGCATGGCGCCCATGAAGACCCAGCCATCCTGGCTAATAAGGTAATTTTCTGAGGAAAGAGTGCAGCTCACAGAAAATGAGGCTTGTGAGGGTGGCAGGTACAGAGTTGGCTTCAGAATAAAACACACAGTGTGAGGCCAGGGAGATGCCCAGAGAATCGGAGCGGCCAAGGGCAGCAGCCACTCCACTCACCTGTTTGCGGAAGAACTTTCTTCCCACTCCCGCAATGAGATTAGAAAGGCTGAGAAACAGGCCTGTTCCTTCAACTACAGCTCCTCCCAGGCGCCACCCTGAGAAGTGCTCACCAGGCACCAAAGTAAAGAATTAGCCCAGAAGCAACCCTTAGGTGGAGTTCAGAAAAACAACCAGAGGCCTACAGGGGAGGGGAGGGGAGGGCTAGGGAGGGGAGACAGGAGAGGAGTTAGGAAGAATGTCTGGTTCAGGTACAGATTCAAATCTACCACACAAGCTGTGACCTTTCATAAAAGCAAGGTCAACATCTGGCATGGCTTGGCAGCACACAGCTGTATCCCCAGCACTCAGGAGGCTGGCTGGGGCAGAAGGGTGGTAAATTCAAAGCCATCTGAGGCTATGTAGCGACTTCCAGGCTAATCTGGGTTACATGGCAAAAACCTGTCTCAAAAAAAGGGGGGGCTTGGTAGGGCGGGTATGGAAAGATGGCTCAATGATTCCAAATGCTTGCTACTTCTTCTGAGGAATTGGTTTCTGGAGTTCATATTGGGTAGCTCATGACAAGCTGCTTGTAACTCCCTCCAGGACTAGGCACCAGCACCTGAGGGCCAGCTACAGAGACACTTAGGAAAACTGAAAGAAGACCAGCGGTGGTGGGCACGCCTTTAATCCTAGCACTACCACCTAGGACCTAGGCACCTACCTACCACCTAGGCAGAGGCAGGCGGATTTCTGAGTTCAAGGCCAGCCTGGTCTACAGATTGAGTCCCAGATACCAAAATTACACAGAGAAACCCTGTTTCGAAAAGAAAAGAAAAGAAAAGAAAAGAAAAGAAAGGGGAAAGGGAAAGGGAAAAGGAAAGGAAAAGAAAGGAAAGGAAAGGAAAGGAAAGGAAAGAAAGGAAAAGAAAAGAAAAAAGAGAAGAGAAGAGAAGAAAAAATTAAATCCTGAGCTTAGGACAGACATATGGTCACAAGTTCTAGACTGCATGGTCTACAAAATAAAACCCTGTCTTAAAGAAAGCAGAAACAAACATACAAAAAGAGAGAGTGTTGAAGAGATGGCTGAGCGGTTAGAGCACTGGCTGCTCTTGCAGAGGACACAGGTCCCATTCCCAGCACCGCGCGACCACCCGCAACTCCAGTTCCTGGGGATCTGACTGGCTGACACCTGCTCCTGGCCTCTGAACACCATACACACATATGCACATCCATACACATAAGCAAAACATTCACTTACATAAAAAATTAAAACGGAATTTAAACAAATGCAAAGAAAGAAAAAGAAAGGACACAAGAGCAGAGCCCTGGCCTACCGCAAGAGCCCTGAGGGAGAGTGGTGGTTTCTCTAATCAGGGAGCCAGCACGGTTGGAATACACACAGCAAGCTGAGGGAGGAGTGGTGGTCAGGTGACCCCTAGCCCTTTCCCTGGGACATCAATGAAGGTTTCAGCTGGGCAGTGATGGCTACTGGGAGATCCTCCGGAAAAGTCCACAGTAGTTGTGATCTGTGTCCTACCGCAGCCCAAACGTGAGGCAGCCCAAAGTGTCCCTCACTGCACCCCTCCCTGAAGAGCTAAGAATTCAACGGCTCCAAAGCTTCAAGACCCCTCAACTCCTTCTCCATTTAGCTCTGGCCTCTCAGGGACCACTCAAGCACTAACTAGAACCTCATTCTAGAAGACAAACATTTAGCCAGACAACAGCAGCACACATCTGCAGTTGGGAAGCAGAGAACAGCCTGGTCTGCAGAGTTCCAGGACAACCTAGGATACACAGAGAAACCCTGTCTCAAGAAAAAAAAGAAGAAAACAAAGGAAAAGAAAAGAAGAGAAAAGAAAAGAAGAGAAGACATTTATGGGTCAGGTTATGTGGCATCAAAGCAAGTGTCTACACAACAACCTCAAGAAGTGTAGGCTTTTGTTTGTTTGCTTGTTTGTTTGTTTACTTTGGTTTGGTTTTACAAGACAGGGTTTCTGAGTAGCTCTGCTGTTCTGGAACAGTCTGGCCTCAAACCCACGGAGATCCGCCAGCCTCTGCCTCTGGTGTGAAAGGCAAAACCTGTTTCAATAGCCCTGGAGGCAGGTACTCTCCTAGTAACTCAACAAGGACCCAGGAGGCTTGGGAGCTAAACACTTCCTTTCACAGAGCAGGGCAGTTTCCCTTAAACAGAGAAAAGGGGGCTGGGTTCCGGCTAAATTGGGGGTAAGATGACTTTAGCTCAGAGGTCCTAGCCCCACGGTTGGCATTCAAGGTCACAGCTGCAAGAAAAAAAAAATCCCCAGCCAGAGCCAAGGTGCTTGTACCTGACAACATCTGGTGGCTCCAAAGCCTCTCTCCCTACCCAGAGCCTGTTCTAGAGACCATGGCTAATTTGGGGAGGGGCTCTACAACCCGAGTATCTATTAAGGGGGGCCCCCTCACAGAGCTGAGAGGGGGGGGTGGTATGGGAGGGGCTTTCCAGGGCCACTTCTGTCTCCAGCCTGCAGAGACCTTGAGGCACAGGCTCTAGCTTACACCACCCCCACCTGCCTAGTGAAAGAGGCCTACAGATATCAGAAGCCTTCCTGCTCCCATCAACTGTGGCACACCAGGAAGTACACAGT